TGTTAACTTAAGGTCTAGACTTTTTTGTAGCTAATACTCCTCCTTTCGCGTTTTGCGATAATCACTATTTTTCACTATTCGAGGAGCAACGTCCGGTGAAAAATGGGTGGCGCCAAAATCTCTCTAATTTTGCTTATGTTTTACCCACCCCCCTCACCAACTGGGTGGCCAGAGCAAAAATAGGACGAGTAATGAATCACTCAGTACAATTATAGTCTGACCACCCTTAATTTAACGCTTCAATAAGAGTCTACCTCCCCGTTATCTTTTAGCTTTTTTTAAGTTTTTTTTTGTTAACTCGTCGAAGGGCTAATAAAAAATTTTGCAAATTGGTCAAGAAAAAATACAGGAAGTTGTGTTCGAGATCCTGAAATAAGTATTTCCACAAAATTGTAACCTGACTTGAGCAAATCAAATGGCTGCGGATCTATATCGAATCTGCCTTAAAAGAAACAGGACGAGTTGAATTGTTCATTTAATACAATAAGTTAAACTCCAGAATATTTTTCCCAAAAACAGTGTCCTGGATTCTAAACGTGTGAATCCCGAGCTCACCTTATCAAAGGACACCGCAAATATGGATGTGCTTGTCCGAGTACCCTTTGTTGAGGTTCTCGTAAGCACACATCACTATCGCATAGTTCTCTGCCTGAAGTATATTGCCATAGACCCCCAGGCACATATATCTGTGCTCTAAGAGAGCTACCATATACACTAGTTTCTGTTGCAGTGTTTGTTTTGGAGCCGTCCGTTAACTATACGAGCCCATGAGGCACAAGTATATTTTCTCCCGCACGGAACCAGTCGTCCTTTGTAGGAATGCTCGCTCTTGGCTGCAGTTTGGCTTCTGTTAGAGTCACTTCCAAGCGGTGGCCGCTGAGTATAGACCGGAAACGCTCCTTGTTGTGGAGCGCCTTCTCAACTCAACAAAAACGAAGTCAGACTGATCGCCCGGACGTCTAGTCATGGTGCACACGTCCAGCCTTCGGGATAAAAACAATTCGTATTCGCCTCCAGGACACTGGCATATATCTCAGGGTCGAGGATGAACGGATAATTTGATACAGCGTTCCAGTTATGATATTTCCTGAAACCTGATTTAAATGGATCAAACATATTGATTGCCGATCCTGAATTTTTCGTGAGAGATGCCCTAGGGTTTCCAGGGTCTTATTCGCTTCTACACCACCATTGATCAACAGCAAGCCGGGGAAGTGGCTCTGGAGCAGGTTCTTCATATTAGTCCGGTTTTCGTGTAGGAGCTATTAGACACCTCAGGGACCTCAGTTCAGCCCCACTTGTTCCCAACATCTTCCTTAGTCTACAGACTGCCCGAAAATTTTTCATGCCACCACCGATTTTTTTCCAGAACATCTTTTTCCTCCTTTTGTGTGATTGTTATTTGTAATATTGCTATATTTCCATTATAACCGAAGGATTTATAAGAGCATAGTCTAATAATCTGGCATTGGTAAACTGTTCGATGGTCGTTGATTTTTTCACCAATTGTTTAGGTCTGTTGAGCAACGTGGAGTTAAAGAGAAAAGGTTTGTCATTATAATAAGTACAAGTTTTTGAGCTAGCATAAATTCACTGAATTGATTAATAATTACACTATGGAAACAGTTAGGTTGTAAATATAAAATAAAATAAATGCTCAAGTTATTTTTTACATACATACACAAAGAGGGAGTTACAGATATTCTACAGTAACATATGAACGTCAATTAAGTACAATTTCAATTTTGAAGCTATCAATGCTCGCATAGACGTTGCAATGTACTTTTCTCGAAAAGGAATTGCCGAATATTTTTTTACTTTCTCGGTAGGAAAGCACTGAATTATTTCTTTGAAAATATTGCTTACGGGGCCAACTGTTTTAGCAAAAATTCTGCTATCAGTATTCCCAGACATAGGTATAACTTATTAGGTATAACTTTGTTTTTCTTTTTTATTTTTTGAAACGGAAATTTTAATATTGTTCTTTTTCTATCTGTAAAGCTTCCTTCTGTTCAGTATCTTTTGAATTATTAGCCTCAGAAGCTGTACTTGGTGTAAAATTCGAGACAAATGATCCCGAGGAACTAATGTGTTTACATTTGGCAACTTAATGGCAGGTAAAGCAATATTTGTAGTTGCAGAACATTGACTATCCACATTTTTTTTAATATTAATGTTTATATCTGCCTGCGATATTCATTGATGCGTAGGGTCGAGTTTTATTTCTCCTGGGTCGGTTTTTGTTGAATCGAACTTGCTAGAACTTAGCCGTCTTTATGTCTTCTTGGCAAGCAAAAATGTGAACTTTTTTTTTTCATTTTTTTGCTGAACTCACGTCATTTTCGATTCCATATAGTGGAAAGTAGTTTTAAAGTACCTTAAATTTTTAATTAAAAAATAAATATGGCAGTCACGTTAAAATGGTCTTCGTAGTCAGTTAATAAGTCAGTCAATAAGTCAGACTGAAGAAACGAAGCGATTCCTATAAAAAAAGATGGGAAGGCCTTAATCCTGTGTCAAATATTCAATCAAACAATTATTTTGAAAACGAAGAAAGCAACTTTCTCCTGTCAGCGATTACCTATAAATAACAACTAGAAAAAACTTCTGCTAAAAAGCAAGCAGTAGGTTTAATTCGTTGTTTTTTTTATATGATTGTCATAAATTTGTCTATTGTGAGGTATTTTAATATTAATCTAATGTATTTGTAATGTTTTTATTTCTCACATTATTCATAAAATTATTTCAGAATAAAGCAGTGAATGGCGTACAATACCAACAACGGTTAAAAATTTAAGCTTAAAAAAACAATGTCTTCTTCCCTGTTGTCCATTTATATAAGAAAAAATATTAATCGTCAAAAACTATTAAAAACAAAAGAAAGCTCGTTACTCGTTTTTTTAATTTTTCATTTTAATCCACCTTAACTTCAATTCACTTATTACATCTCTTTATTAACAACTCAATCCCTTTTAAGAAATACTCTTTTGGTTTGTCTGCAAAATGAGCTAAAATAGTCTATTTTAATTCAACTTCGTCGTTAAACCGCCGTCCGTAAGTCCTTTTTCAAATATCCAAACAAATAATAGTCGCTGGGGGGCTATATCTGGACTATAGGGAGGATGATCTATCTGTTGGAACCCAAACTCTAAAATGGCAGCTTGTGCAACACCAGTATTATGGACAGGTGCATTATCGTGCAAAAGCCGCACGTCTCTGGTCAATTTTCCTCGACGTTTTCTTTAAAATCTATCAGAAGAATTCTTTCACAATCCCAAAAGATTGTGGCCATCACCTTTTTTGTTAACTGGCAGACTCTGAATTTTCTTGGAGGTGCTTCACCCTTACGACGCCACTCAATTGATTCTTTCTTCAATAAAGGGTCATAATAGAGAACCATAGTTTCATCTGCCGTCACAACAGTTTTTATCACAGGCTTCGGTTCCGACCCACAGAGTTTCAAAAAAGATCGCGCACACTCGACACGGCGTTGTTTTTGAATAGCCGAAAGGTTTTTAGGAACCCATCTTGCACTAACCTTATGCACTCCTAAATGATCATGCAGGATTCCACGAACACTTGTATCAGAAAGCTTAGTAATTTCTGAGATTTCCTTGACCTCTAAACGTCGATCACTCAATACCACCTCTTCCACAATCGCAAAAATATCTTTCGTTATGACCTCCACTGGTCGACCAGTTCTTGAATCATCTTCAAGGGATTCCTGCCCCATTCAAAAACGTTTTGCCCACTCTTTCACTACAGAATACGAACGAGGACTTTGGCCGTAAACACCATCCAGCCTTTCTTTCATAATTTTAGGTTCTAACCCTTCTTTTGTCAAAAACTTTATGACTGTTCTATACTCATTTTGCGTTATGTGCAACATTTCGTCGGACACGTCTTGTTTAAAATGCTATCAATAGAAAACTATTTGACGCAAGACATTTTTCGCAGTCTACTAAGATATATATTTGAAAGAAGACAAAGTTTTATCGTGATACTGGAACTGCATCTATGTCAGGCCGGGAAATTTTGGCGCTAACCTCGTATCTTCAAACGGAGAACTGAAATTTGTTTTAATGCTTTGTGGTTTATAATGAAATTGATGGGGATGTTCGAACAATTTTTTTAATAAACGTAAAACACAACTTTTTATTATTATTAGTTTTTATATTTTATAACTCGTAAATAAACAAAGTTCTCCCTTTTCGATATATGCAGGAGACTGTATGTAATTATGGATGTGTATTCCTCATAAAAAAATTTAAAAACAAATGAACTATTAATAAACAATTATTAAAATTGTAGTTATAAACGTAAAACGAAATAATGCAAAAAACTTAGCTAGTCACTTATAATTGAAGGTTACAAAATAAAAAGATCCTTAGATCGTTATATCTAAAACAAAACCGGAAAAAATGACTTTAAAATGTGAGATATCGAAGACCGAAGTTATCGCAATAGCAGACAATCTTCAGGATTCCCTACATGAATTTTTCTGTCGAACAAGCACAAGCTTATTGAAATCTTATAACTGATTTAAATAAGGAGCTCTCCGCACACTTTTTGATTTTAAAGTTATAGCTTAATTTGCGAATTCTCAGAGGAACCTGGAATTTTATGACTCAGCTGGTCAATTACTTCCCTTGTGATGATAAGCGATTTCTATATTATTAAGCCCAACGGCCGACGTGTCTACCAAATTGTGATTCTTTATCAGAGGTTCAAAAAAACAAACAAACAAAAAGTTTTTAGAAGAGTATTTAAAAAAAGAATGTAAGGCACAAAACAGACGTGAATAAAAATAATAAACATGGTTGTACTATTTAATTTATTCTTTTATTTATTTTGATCACTCATTATTTGAGTTAAAGTCTATTACGGGAATGTTTAGAATTCTAGAATAATTAAACTTTATTAAGTAATCTAATTGGAACTAATTATCACATAAGACTACAACGAATTCGGTAAACTCATAGTGAATGATATTGTTTCAGGTATCAGGAATTAGCAGTGAAATATTCAAACAGATAGAAGCTATTGAAAATGATCACGACGCTTCTACTGCAGCTGCATTGGAGGTGAGTAAATATTTACTGTACCATCAAACTTCTTCAAAAAGAAAATAGTAAATTACATCAAAATATACCGTTTTTCTTATAGTGCAGCGACCGTTTAATGATTGTTCATCCATACCACGGTTTTAGATTTGACTTTCTTCTCCTTCCAAGGCCTCTTTGTGTGACGCATGTAGTAGATGCTTAGAATTATATTCGGGTATTTATTCATTTCCTCTAGCACTATTGAGTTTTTCAATCTATCCAACCAGGTGATTTATAAGGGTTTCAGGCGCATGATCAGCGTGTCATCCATGATTTGACGCCATGAAGCAGTACACGTAACATCTATTTATTTTTATTCGCAATTTCCGTGCTAATTATGCTCGTGCCTTTTCCATTCTAAATTTTATTTCACTAGATGGGTCCCATATACCGCCCAAATATTTCAGCCCCCCAACTCGTTCCAGAGATGGTCCAGCCACAATTGAATTGAAAAAATGAATTGAAACATGTTTACAATGGACCATATATTTTGTTTTATTAATATTTAGTTTACCAAAAACTGGATATCGTCGTTGTTATTCTCACTGATTATGTGTATATGGTGTATATGATGTTATCAACAATTTTCCCATTTATGATCGCTCCTGGTATGCTGTCGGTCATGGCTTCTAAAAAAAATTATTTAGAATACAGAATACAACCTTGGCGCACCGGCCCCTTTATCAAAATCTTCTGCCCGATTTTCTTTCTCGATGATAGGTGTATCCTTAGATACGTCCGGGCACTCAAGTCCGTGCCTCTCATGGTGCTGCTAATAAAGGAATAGGTATAAGGGTTATACGATAAAACTCTTCTCGCCTTGTGGCTATCAAGGCATTACACACAGGATGAGCCAGGCAATAATAATAATATTATTATTTTCAATGAATATACGTCAACGCAAGCTAATTATATTCAAGCATAAGCTACTGCAAGCGTACTGTACATATACACAATTCAGCTCTGAATCAGCAGGCCAAACACGGCCCTCGTTCGCAGACATTTACGAATGCCCATCTTCTACAATTGTTTCTACCAATTGTCTATATATTGTTGAAGAGCTCTGTTATTGCTTCTATTCATTTATCTTCTAACAATATATATAAACTAACAATATTTTCTTGCTAATTCCATCTTTGCCTGGCGCTTTTCCGATATTTGCTAGCTCTTTTGACTTCCTCTTTAGTAATTGGTGTTGCAGTGTGCACCATAAGTCTTAACAACCTTGTAAAAGTATTAATTTTATTTTAGGGATTATCAAGCAATCGAAACCCTAATCCTACACATTTCAGTTCCGTTCACTTTTGTAGCTTAATTATAATCTATTAAAATGTTTTTAATGCTTAAAAGCTTCATAGTATCAAGCATCCTGTATTGAAACGTGGTAGAAATTGTTATAGTTATAGTTGTCAATACTTCTGAATAAGAATTCGTTGCCAATTCATTATTTAAAAAACCCCTCTCTAAAATCCAAAAATACTCAAATAGACAGATCACTTTAAAGCACGCCATAGGTAAGAATCTACTGGACAATCCCACGGCCCGTAACAGTCGAAACCAAGGGTCATTAATTAATTCGTATAATTCTTGTGATACCTCTTCGATGCAGTGAGCCGGTGCCCCATCTAGTTGGTACCAAGAGTTCTCAACTTCCTGAAGGCTAAGATGCTCGAGGAAATCATTTACCGCTATTCTTAATATTTGAAGGAATGGTTCATCGTAAATTAAAAACCGTTCACCTTAAAAGTCTAAGGTACCTACAACCGTGGAATACCTCGTATTTATAATGATATAAAGATAAATAGAATCATCTTTAATTCTTTAATGTTAAATTATAAGAAATCTGCGTGATTATCTGTCACAACTTTCAACTTCAATACTGAAAACAATCAAGCCGTGTGAATGATAGTTGGGAATGCCAGAAAATTATGGAGTGTATCCAAGATTTTTGTACGATTTTATGTACGATTATCGTTGCAGCAAAGTTATCATGGACTTAATTTTGTCATTCCCGTTTTGTAACTTTGAACAGCATAATTCCCAATAAGCAATCTGGCTTTCGTCGAGCTTAACACATCTGTATTGGTAGACATTTTAAATAAGATCATGCATAACCGCGATAAAAATGCCAATTCACTTCTCGTCCTCTTGAACTTTAGTAAAGAGTTTGATACTATTAGCCATCCTTTACTGCTAATCAAGCTTAGGTATTTTGGATGTTCATCTAGTATTTCCAAACTTTTTGGGAATAGCTTTAAAAATAGAATGCATTGCGTCCCGGTTAAATTTGAAAGGTGAAATTACGTTAGAGTGTCCGCGGGTGTACTTTAAGGCTTTGTTCTAAGTCCCTTATTATTTTCAATTTACATCGCAGATGTGGGTGAATATCAGTTAGCTCAATTGCAGCAATAATCAGACGACTCCCAACTACTCATGTCATTCAATATTGGCACTCTCCATATATCGCAAAATAATTTTAATTCAGATTTAAATAAAATACACGTTTATGCCTTCAATCACAATTCAATACTCAATCCTGTAAAATCGCAAGTTTTACTTTTTGCTGGCAATAAAAATAGTGAGGAGTTCATTGATACCTATATCTCTCTCTTCTTCTTCTTTTGCTTTTGCCTTGTACTCTGTAGTCAGAAATGTAGCTGGGAAGATGAGCTCCAACTCTCATGATATCGTATGGGAGTTACGTCTAGGAAGTCTGCTCGATCTTGGGAGACTATCTCTTCCCATTATCGGCAGTCTGTGGTCTTCCATCCGTTCAACATGGTCTCTCCATTCGCGCCTTCTGTTTCGGAACCATCGTACAATGTCAAGGACATCGCAGAGTTCTCATCTCTGCTGTTCGGATGATTCCTTTTGTTGTCGAGTTCTCCGCTCTTGTTTCTACAGTATATGTCATAGCGGGTCTCACACAGGTTTTATTGATGCGAGTTTTACCTTATATGGTCATATGTTTGTTTCGCCATATTACATCTTGTAAGTACCCTGCTATTAAGGCTACTAAGGCTATTAAGGCAATTAAGGCTGGTTGTTTGGCATTCTACTTCTTTTTAGAGATTTCTGCTGCTCGTGACGCTGATGCTTAGATAATTAAAATTCATGACCTGCTTTACATGTTCATTGTATATGGACAATTTACTTCTTCTGCTCTTTTTTGATATCGAAACAATGTTTTCGAAATGAAAAAGCATTCTCTGTAGGTTGTCCTCGTTTTCCGATATCAACACGGCATCGTCCGCATAGCAGATTATCTTTATTTCTTTGTTCCCTAGTCGGTATCCCTTTCCAATCTTCTTCACTTCAGATATAGCTCATCCAGTCTGAGTGCGCGCTCTTTTTCTTGAGAAGTCTCACAACTCAAGGAGTCCTACGTGGTCAAATGCTATTGTGAGATCAATAGAATACATAAACGCTGTTTTATTGTATTCTATAGACTTTTCATCAATCTGCCTGATTGTAAAGATTGCATCTATTGTTGACCTATTTTTTCTAAAGCCTTGTTGCTCTTCATATAGCCTACGAGAAGATACTCAGTATTGAGCTTAACAGAGCGATTCCCCGATAGTTCGCTGGATCTTTTATGCTTCCTTTCTTAAATATTGCGATGGTTATGCTTTTCTTCCATTCAATTGGTACTTTATTGGTCTTAATTATATTGTTAAAGAATACGTGCAGCTCCTTTGACAGTTCCTCTCCTCCGTACTTCAGCAATTCGTTAGATATTTCATCTTCTTGCAGACTTGCGGTTATTTACTTTGATGGTTGTTTGTTCAATTCTCTTCTTAGACATGGCCCATGATTCCTGAGGAATGCTAAGGTTTTCTTTCTGAATGTGTCAGGGCTGTAGAGTTGACAAAGGTATTGTTCCCAGTCATTGAGTGCAATTTTTGTTACATCTACTTGTTCATTAATTGTTTTTTTCCTATTCATTCTAAATCTTCCTCTGGCCTCCGTAAAGGTCATGTTTCATGTCTGCCGAGAACTTTTCCCAATGTGCTGTACGACCTTGTATTCATCAAGTGTTAGGTTTTGTGATCTGTATTTCACGCATGCTTTTCATTTTTTATTTGCCAGTTGTCTGCCTTCATCTGTGAACCATGGTTTAGTGTTTGGTTTGGTAGATTTGTTTGAAAATCCTCTTCCTACAGCTTCTTCGGCGGCTTTCAGAATGTTTGATTTCATTCTTTACCAGGCAGTTTCGACATTATTAGTTTCTGTAATTTGATTAATGTCTATTTTGTCTTTGAGTCTTTGTTGATATAGTTTTTTTACTGATGGGAATGTCAGTGATTCAATATTAAGTTTGCTGACTCCAACAAGTGTTTTTTTTTTTTGGTACGTTTAATTTCCATAACTATTTTAGCCAGCACTTGTCAATTGCGCATATCTGAATTAGTTTTTCCCCGCTTTCGTTATTAGTTTCTTCATTAAGGCGATTTATTACACCAGGTATCACAGTGTTCCCAATTTGCGCATTGAGGTCTCCAAGTATTATTACCTCGTGCTATCTTGGGATATCATCTAACTGATGGTTCATATAGAATTGTTCTATGTCATCTTTCGGTTTGCTGGTATCCGGAGCGTATACACAGTTATCAGATGTGTGAGTTTTGACTTGTGAAAACTGATGGTCACTTGCAGTATTCTATCAGAGATATATTTTGTGTCAGAAAAGTTATTTTGAAACCTTTCGTGTAAGAATAGTCCGGCACCACATACTGCTTTTTCGTTCTCGTCTTTGCCACTATAGATAAAGATGTGTTCGCCATATTTTGTGTCGCCTTTGCCTTTCTTTTTGGTTTCTGAAAGTGCAAATATTTCAACATTGTGTTTTTTTTATTTAAAGCAACACCTCTTGATCTTTGTTGTTCATGGACGTAATGTTCCAGCAGCCTTTTCTGTGCCGGATCGTCAAGTTTTATTCCAGTCCTTTCGAGGCAGTAGTATATTTACCCTAAGCACTT